TTTTTCACATTTGCTTAAATTTGGAATTATGAGATATTTATGAATATAGATGACATACTTGTTGCCATGGGATCTGACTGCACGTCTCAGTGTAAACAAAGTACTATACGAGTCATGCGTGTTGGACCTGTCGGTCACGGTCAGTTTATGTTGGTCAGGTGTGAAATGTAGATGTACAGTCTAGTGCGCAAGCTTCTTTTCACTTGTTTTCCCATCATTGCCCAGTGTTTGAGCCATTATACCTGATTACCATGGACCAAGCACCTAAATCTCCTTGTGAGGTACTGTACTTAGTAACTTTTAAATTTTGCTTGAGGCAGTTAACGGAGGAGTGCCGTTTTTTCCCCCGACAGGAGAAAGTGCACCCCACATTTTGTAAAATCTTGGAATTGGTAAAGGTTAGAGCCTCTATTATTGCAAATTATGGGGTTTTTACTGTACTGTACAGTATTGGGAATACATCTCCGTACATGATATCTGCATGATAATGATACTTAGTTGATGGTTTATCTAGCCCTCCCACCACCATCAAGAATAAACATCAGCAGTAGCACAAAGTTAATATATATTTACATTCAAAAAGACTGATTACTGGACATGATCGAATGTTGCATTACATTTTAATCATCAAAAAAACATAAAGGAAATTTATTTTACTATTAACTCAATTTAATTAATGTACAAAACTATATCAAGTAATAAATGGTTAAAACAATGGAATCAAAGATGTGAGGCGATGAAGACAGTGTTCGGGAGGAAACGAACCCAAATACAGTAATGTTGAGTTTGTTGAGGCCCCCAGCAGTGAGGAAAAATAATGATGCTCACTCCCCATCGTGGGTGCCGTGATAGGGGACCATGTGCACCCCAGCCACAACAGTACGCGAGTGACTGCACTAGTTTTATGCCTGAAATACTAGTTTTCGACTGTGCATTGTTTAGAGGATCTGCCGAGTCTTAAGTCGCCCAGGGCATAAGGGTTAGGAAGGTTCTAAATTAAATGCATGATGTTGTCAGTGTTGTAAAATCAATAAATTTAGGTACTGTATAGATGATGTTTATAATCTCTAGTCTTCTATATTCCTGAAAATATTGGAAATGTTGAAGTAAAGAAATATTTCCAAGATGCCAATTACTCCAAGTCAAAAGTCAGAAGGTAGAAAAACCAACTGCGTAGACTGAAGAGTAAGTGAACTATGAGTGGCAATGACCATAGATTTACCTCTCCTCAAAGGCAAGCTATTTATAATATTTGCTTTGTCATTAACCATTTCGACTGTGAATTAATTCTATGTTGTTGTGATGATGGAAAAAAAGATATTCCAAACTTTACACCTTGTAGATCCTCTTAAAAGTAGTATTATTCCTGGTGTACCACATTGTTATACCACCTCTATCTATCTGACTGATAGTAACACCAGTGCCAACAGTGAATAGTATTCTGGGGGACAGCAATAGTTCTTTACCGAGATATGTAAAATGACTTTCTGCAAAAATACCGATTCACAGAAAAGTTTTGACAAAGGAAAATCAACAGTAGTTAGCAAGAAATATAAAACTATAAAAAACAATAATAATAAGTTGATTACATAAGAAGGTAAACAATAGTGTACTTTATGAGTGTACAAAAAGCAGCATATGCAACAATGTAAAATAATTTCCATATGTATGGAAATCATGAGCTGAGACATGCATAGCCACTGATAACTTTTCAGTAGCTACTGCAATTCTGTTTATTTGAATGTGGTCAAATTTTCTTGATAGGAGATATTTATACAGTATTCTACATATCATATACTGTATGTCATAATATTTCATGCCTTAAATAATATAAAAAATATCCTTAAACATGTAAACTGCAGCATTACACTAGTTTTTTCTTATTGCCACTTCTCACTAACACATACAGTTGTACCCCACTTAACGCGGTCAATAGAACCCAGAGGGTCCAGCGTTAAGTGAAATCCGCGTTAAGTGAACAACAGAACATATGGGATTAATTCCAATAGAAACCGGCCCGACCCCCAAACTCCACTTTTTGAAGACACATAACTATGTTGTAGTAAAAATAACATCTTAATTTTATGATGGTACATGCACACAATTAATACTTAAGAGAAATAGAGAAATACAGTCGCCAAGTTAATGTCCATTCAAATAATGGACTCAACTCCCTCCCCCTCTCACACTACACTGCCGGCTCTTCCCTCTCTGAGAAATTTTTGGGGGAAAACCACTAAATTTTAATAAATAATACCTCAAACTAAAGTTAGGATAATACAATTGACATTGCTGGATTCCTTGTAAGACCAGGAATATTTTGAATATAAATGTCATATATTTTGCACAAAAGATAACATAGTTACCCAGAGAAAAAATTTTATCTAAAATTTGTATGTCTAATGCAAAATATATGATGTTTATATTCAAAATGATCACCAAATTATAAGAATTCCAGCAATGTAAATTATATTCTGACCGGGTAATTTGTATGAATTTTATGAGCTAAAACAAATATCTTCAGTTAATAAAAAAAAAAATAATCTTCACGACACTATCTGTCAATCAAAGTACCCCACCTTGCCTCCCCCCCTCTTCCAACCGCGCGGTCAGTCCCAACCCTCCCCCCCACCCCCCACCAATCCTCCCTTCAAGAGATGTGGGTGAAAAAAATAAATTTTAACATTTTGTATTAAATAATACCTCAGATTAAAGTTAGGATAATATAATTGACATTGCTGGATTCCTTGTAAGACCAGGAATATTTTGAATATAAATGTCATATATTTTGCACAAAAGATAACATTCTTACTCAGATTAAACATTTTATCTAAAATTTGTATGTCTAATGCAAAATATATGATGTTTATATTCAAAATGATCATCAAATTATAAGAATTCCAGCAATGTAAATTATATTCTGACCGGGTAATTTGTATGAATTTTATGAGCTAAAACAAATATCTTCAGTTAATAAAAAAAAAAATATATTCTTCACAGGGTAACAGATGGTCGGTCGGTCCCTCCCTCCCCCCCACCCCCCACCAACCGTCCCAAGGAGATGTGTGGGAAAACCAGAATACTTAACTTTTTTGTAATAAATAATACCTCAAACTAAAGTTAGGATAATATAATTGACATTGCTGGATTCCTTGTAAGACCAGGAATATTTTGAATATAAATGTCATATATTTTGCACAAAAGATAACATATTTACTCAAGAGTAAACATTTTATCTAAAATTTGTATGTCTAATGCAAAATATATGATGTTTATATTCAAAATGATCACCAAATTATAAGAATTCCAGCAATGTAAATTATATTCTGGCCGGGTAATTTGTATGAATTTTATGAGCTAAAACAGGCAGTCAGGCAGGGTGGTGGGTGGGGCAAATCTAAAAATAGCGTCTGGAGCCGGACACTCACCGCGTATATGTGGGAAAAATCCGTGTTAAGTGAAAGTTCAGCTCTGGCGAGGCACCGCGTATATGATAAAACGCGTTAAGTGAAACCGCGTTAGGCAGGGTAATACTGTATTCCATCTTCATTTCCCCAAGTAGAAAATTCAGTTGAATTCAATTTCAAAATGGTGGCATCAAAAAAAGTTCATCCAGAGATTCATACGTCTCCTTCATACCATTTTCTACAACATACTGTACTTGGTGGTGACCCCTGGGGAGGCAGGTTAGGTTACCCCAAGTCACTGATATGGCTAGTTGATCTACTCAGTGCACAGTGCAGGGGAGCCCCAACTTAAGAATGTCCGACTTACGAACGCCCGCCGATACGAACGAGGTTAAACTTTAAATTTACAGTATTTTATTTACCTCATGACTTATTTTTTACTTTCATTTACTGTATTTTGTCCCTCTATTTCTTCTTTTCTCTTATTTTAGGTGATTTTACATGTATATAAGGACTTATGCTATGATACAGTGGGATCTTAAACATTGTTCTGTAAGTACGGTATGCACATAGCATGTGTTTCGACTTACATACATTTTCGACTTAAGAGCGCCCAGTGGAAAGGAACCCGTTTGTAGCTCGGGGACCCCATGTACAGCAGAATAATGCCCTACCAACCCCAACCCCAACTTACCACGGGACTGAACCCGAGTCCCAGTGTTGCCAAGTGAGCCATGGGACGTATGTTGTCTAAAATTTAAGGCCTTATATGTACAGAGGAGGATGACAAGACTAATCCCAGGCATTAAGAACCTTGAGTACAGAGACAGATTAAAGCATCTGAATCTGCACTCACTCAAGAGACGTAGAGTGAGGGGCGATATGACTGAGGTGTATAAATAGAAGTCAGGGCCAAACAAAGGTGATATAACAACGGTACTTAAATTATTTAACCAGGAACTAACTTGTAGCAATGGTTTCAAATTAGACAAATTTAGATTTAGGTGCGAGATAGGTTTGGAAATAGAGTAGTGGATGAGTGGAACAAGTTACCAAACAGCATCATTAAATTGAACACGCTGAATAGCTTCAAATATAGGTTGGACAGATATATGAGCGATAGGGGTAGGGTGTAAACAGGACTGTATGGTATGGGCCAATAAGCCCACTGCAGTTTTTTCCATTCTTATGTTCTTATGTACCAGACAAGGTACATACAGTGCATACTATTTACTAGGGATGGCAAGGTGCTATTATATTATTAAAACATTCAGGTACAGTATTCTGTATATAAGATATCCCAAAATAGTCTCTAATTTTTTCCACAGTTATTGATTCCCTTAAATAATCTACAGCTAAAACCAACAGAACGCAGCTTACCTATCAGCCCCTCTCTGGAAGAGTGCCGCTATTTCCTCGAAGGTCTTGTTCTTTGTCTCTGGAACTTTGTAGTAGGTGAAGACCCAGAAGCAGGCTAACAAAACACTAAACGGCAAAAATGTGTAGTTCTCAAATGTTTCCTGAAGAGAGACATAATAAGACACTGGTCAATACTTACTGACTTCCACATCTGGGAAGGTTCTGTAACATTCATATACAGCATGCCCTTCGCGGGGGATAGATTCTCAAAATGGCCGCAGATAGCCAGATCCGCGAATAACATTTGCTGACCAGGGGGGGTACATTATTACTCGTGTGCAAAGAAATGTATATTCCTTTTATGTGTTTGCCCTTAGGATAATTATTTCTTTTACCTGTATTGTATATATGTGTGTGTGTGTGTGTGTGTGTAGACACACACACACATATAGACACACAAAACACATACAAATAAACAATAATGGGAAAATCCTCTTACAAATAATCAGAAACAAGACAAAAAAAATGTATTAAAAATGTGAGTCTACCCTAAAGTCAACTTCGTGCTTTGTTATAACTTTAATAACAAAGCACGGAGTTGACATTTTTATTAAATTTTTGTTGTGTTGTTTCTGATAATATATGAGAGGATTTTTCCCATTATTATTTATTTGTATGTGTTGTATGTCTACATACACACATATACAATACAGGTAAAATAAATTACTGTCTCTAGAAAGAATGGCTCCATCTCCTGGCTGCAAAAATGCCAGCAACTTTTAAACTACCCATAGACATTCTTGGATACATTCAGGGTGTCATCCGTGAATAATCGAGGTCCACAAATTAAAAATCCGCGAATTGTCAGGGCATGCTGTACAGATGAACAGACCATAAATTTTTTGCTACCTCTTTCTTTAACTGTTTAACTTGGGATTTTTATCATGGTCAGTAGTGGTTGAGTTAAATATAAGTTCAAATATTAACTATAAAAATCAGAATAAGAGCTAATACTTTAAAGATGATTATAAATTGTATTGAAGCACAACTTTCTAGAACAATATCTACAGCCACTTCTTTAAACTCAATGGACCACGACTCCAAAATCATACATTTGGAAGCTCACATGGTAATGATTATACACAACTTATTTTTATATTTTTTACTATGAGTAGTTCCATAAGATATTGATGTGTTAAATCCATAGGAACATACTGTACAGTGTTATTGATATATCCCCCCCAACTCTTTGAGGAGGGAGAATAAAAATAAATAAACAAATAAAAGGCAAAAATCATTCAATAATGTGTTAATGTCCTCATTATAATATTAAAGACAACCAAGATTGACAGAAGACATTGACCTATTGCTAACATATTTGTGCACTGTAGAACTAACTTGTAAGTCACATAAACAACAAATAAAGCTCAGTATTACATGGAAAACTCAAACTTAATTTTCCTGTCACTCATCAGATAATGTACATAAGTGCTCTAGGCTGTGTTCCTTACCTGCATTTTAGGAAAACCAATGCCAACAATAAAGTTTGAGAGCCAGTTGACTAGAACAGCAATGGACATGGCAGCTGGCCGTGGGCCCTGGGAAAAGAGCTCAGCTGTGATCATCCAGGGAATACTGCCGGGACCCACCGAGAAGAAGATCACGAAGCAGAGCGTACTTATCACAGAGATGAATGTCATCCATCCCATCATTTCCTGTAAAAATTAACATGTTACTTTTACATACCATACATGATATCATATTCCATTCTGACAAAAACAATTACAAATACAGTACAGTACAGTATAATACAGTAATATTGAGAGAAGGAGTAGCATTATGGTTGTTCTGTCTTTTAGCTTACTCCATTTCTATCTACATGACTTGGTAGACATACACAAAGCAACATGCAGAGAATATGGAAATAAAGTAACAAGTGAAACACTGCACATCAATACAAACTTCTCTACTGGTGCCCAAAGTTGACATCCTTGACAGAGAACAAAATTAACTGCCAAATATCCATTTTCAATAATTGACTAAATATTGTTTTAATGTGCAACAGAGTATAGTACTGTGATACAGTATAGTACTTTACACTTGTGTTATATATAAATTAAATCTATATAGTGGTTAACCATTTAAAGTGTCACCATTTAAAGTGTCAGTCAATGTTCCAAATCTAAAAATATTAGTCAATGGTCCAACTCCAACAAAATATTAGTCAATGGGTCAATAGTCCAATTACACATGAGTATTATATAATGGTCCAGACATGTAGGAGTATTGGTCAGTGGCCTAACTACTGTACATAAAACTACAGTATTAGTCGGTCAATGGTTCACAGGTATCCCTCACTATATGAACTGATTAGTTTCCTTGAAAACCATTCATTACGTGAATATTTAACATCAAGTAACTTAATGTGTGGAAAAAATAGGGTCTGGTTGCCAGTGACAAGAACACCCCAACACACACACAAAAAATACATAATTGCCATAAATTAGTACAGTACCTAACTACCTTAAGTTGGTACTTAACTACTGTACTGCAATTTAGTACCTAACTACTGCAATTCAGAGGTTAACACATTAAAAATTAATAAAATAAAAATTTGGTACAATACCTTAAGGGATCATATTTGCATAAGCAAAAATAGCTTTCATATAGTGAAAAAAAATGTGTAAGAATAGAATATTTGTGGAAGTGAATATTGGTATTTCCCTATCAACACTTCACAAGCATCAACTTCTGAAGCAACCTACATCATGTTTACCACAAAACATTATAGCAATTTTGTTAATTAATACATTTTGCTTATGTTTCTTAGTTGAATCAGGAATACTGTAGAAAAATAGTACAGTAAAAATATTTCATAAATTCCTTCATGGAGATAAAATAAAAATACATTTTACAATCCTACATTATTTTAAATTATATTATTATAGACATGAATGATTTTTTAGCTGATATTTTATAAAGACAAAACTTTAGTAAAAGACTAAACTTAGATACCTTTTGGCATGTATGGTAATGTAAACAAGTGTCATATATCATCACTGAAGAATCCATAAAATAAAAAGTATTGGTTGGTGGCAACTTAGAGCTATACCTGTACAGTACAGTCTGGCTAGCTGACATACCTTGATGAGGAGGCTGATGGTGATAAAGATGGAGAAGATAAACATGCCACCGAGACCATACAGATGAAGTGTCCGTCGTCCAGCGCGGTCCATGAGCGGAATCGATACTAGAGTCATTATGACCATGACCGACCCCACCCCAAGAGTTGCATATTTGGACTGCCACTCCTCCAGGCCCGCAGCAGTGAACAGTGACGTGGAGTAGTACAGCACCTGGGGCATTACCAAGTAAGCTATTTGTAATTAAATTGGGCTGAGGCAATATGCAGAAAGTATATGAATGAATTGAAGAAAACATAATTAGGATACAACAGGATAAGAATCAAGAGTAGATCATTATATAAAAGAGTTGAGGCACATTTCAGATGCTCCAGAAATATTGGTCTTGGTGAGAGAAATATCCATGAGAGATGATTCTAGTGACTTTAAGTAGATTCATAGTCTAAAAAGTTGCTATGTCTTTAATATTAGTGGTAGTGGCTTAGAGGGACAGTGGGGGTACTTGAACTTTAGGGGCGGTACTTTTTAGCACTTTTTACACAGTACTAACTTAATCAAAGTTATTGGAATATATTCAAATATTTGTCTGTTGTTCCCAGCATGATTAATATTTATAAAACAATATGACTTTCTTATGAAATTAGGGTAAATCATCAAAAGATGCACACAATACACTTCTCAAACAAGAAGCATTTAGGCCTATATGTTGAAATTATTTAGAAACAAATAAAATGAACATTCCAGAGGTGAATAAAAACCAAAAATAAAATTTGAATGCAATATACAGTCACATACATTAAGGGAATTTGCTATCAAACACTCAATTCAATGTCAAACATTGGGAAAGTTCATGCCCCAGTGTTGGTAACAGAGGAAAATGGCAGTGTCAACACTAGCAGAGTTAATAAAGAAAAGTTACTATTTTTACTGTGACCTAAATGTATCAGAATTTAATTAATCGCCTGCATATGGTCAGCCCACAATGATATGTTGCTATGGCAATGAAAGAGCCTGGCAAAATGAGGATAAGACACTTGAAATGTACGTAATTTCAAGCACTCTCAAACAGCAAGCAGTGGCATGGCTTCACCAATAAAGCTAGCAGTTTCTCAGCTAGAATAAGCATATAGTGAAAAATATATAAATGTACATGAGCCAATCTAACCTTGTAATCTTTTAAAGTATTTCAATTTCATGGCATTGCTTTTATCAAGTAAGAAGAATATTTTATGACTGAAGGTAAAATGTATAAACATGGTAGATAAGGCAACACAGAGTAAAGCATAATACATGAACTGGCAACTTTAAGAAGATGAAAACTGTTCCTAATTCTCCTTTATAATCATTCTGGGATTTTAAATTAACATAAAGCATAAAAATTACCCAAATTTGTATTATAGGAGGCTTCATATTTAGTAATAACTACAGGTATATCAGTATTATCATCAATTAGGTGTGGAAAAATAAAACAAAACTTCTTGTTTATTAAAATTCAAACTCCAATCTTGATTCTGTTTGAGAACATCCAACACCTTACAAGATGATCTGAGGCTAAAACAAAACTCCACCTCCTGACAGACTGTGGTTATGGTCATATGTTAGGAGTGTGTTGTCTTTTCCTTACTTTCTTGCCAGGTTCTTCAAAATTTTATGAAATTTTGCTACAAAAGTGGTTTTACTGATTATTATTCTGCTGGAGGTTTACAACAGCTAAATACAGCTTTCAAACAGCTAAAGATAGCCTTAAAACAGTTAGGACATAGCTTTACATGAGCTAGAGCATAGCTTTACACCAGCTATAATATAAATATATAACTGCTAGAACAGCTTTAAAACTGCTAAAAACATAGCTTTAAATTAGCTAAAGTATAGCTTAACAGTAGATATATAATAACTTTAAACATGAGCTAGAATATAAGTTGTCTTAGCTCAGGACTAGTGATTCCTGGTTGCCAATGTTGGCCATCCCTCCCTACCCAGATATTTTAATGAATATATCCATTCAAGAATAATGAGAGACTCAACTGTAGCCTCCTCTTACTGGGGATTAAACTGAGGACCTCCAGATGTTCATTCCAGGTGTTAAAAACTTGCCAACACCTGAGATTTGTATTTTGGTAGTTCTTGATTCATGTCCTGATACGGGGATGTTTTGGTTGCACTGACATACGCAGATGATATTTATTTGTTCGAATAATGAGTCGTAAATCACCATAATAAACAACACCAGCACCCCGTCAAAACAAAAGCGTGAGCAATTTTTACCAAGGAACCTTAATGTCTATGACCGTACTGTACAATGAGGACACAGGGTGTAAGTAGTTCCCACACTAAGTGCAGAGAAAATTGCTGCTTTTACTTGCATTGTTTCAGAAAATTGCCTTTTATAAAAAATGTGGTGAAAATTGCCTTTTATAAAAAATGTGGTGTTTTATTAAAAAAAAATACAAAAGAGTCAAGTAAAACATTACCAGAGATGATGAAGATACAAATGGAGTTTTGAGAGTAAAATCAAAAGTTGTAGCACAGAAACAGCAACTTGGAAAATCTATACTACAGTATATTGTTTAGAACCATCATTAAACAGACTAATAATAAAGTTAAATAATTTATGAATATATCTGAAAGTAAACCAATACAAAATGAGAGAAGAGTAACAAGTTGTGTGTGTGTGTGTGTGTGTGTGTGTGTGTGTGTGTGTGTGTGTGTGTGTGTGTGTGTGTGTTGCAAGCTATGCAATTTTCTGATTGGTCAGGCTGGTGTTAAAATTTTGATCAATGACCCATTAGTGATCAGGAGCACAACACAAACCATTAAATATTTCATCCAAGTTCTGTACTTCTGTTGCATCATGTTGCTTCTTATATATTATCATTATTATGTTGCTCAAATGTTTCTGACTTAGTGATGATGTACAGCTAGTGAGAACATTACAAATATCAAGGTATTCTTTAAACAACTATGAAATATACAAGTTACTAATAACATCTGCTAGGCAAAAACAAAAAACTAAATAAAACACACATTAGATACAGTACAGTACCACACATGCTCTGACAACAGTGTGTGTAGTAAGTAGGTGTGTAAGGAGGCCAGTTAAAGCCAGTTTTTCTATTTAATTTCATGGATAATTCAAAAATTTTCTTGAATGCTAGAGTTTCCCTTCAATGAGGTAATGTTAAACTTTCATATCTCACTATACAATAATTCACATCTGAACTGTAATAAGCTGAGTCCTTTTCAATGAAGTGAATCTCAAACATCATAATGGCAAGGGACACTGCATCTACTAATTGTCTTCTATATTGTAATATTCAATACCAAAGTGAATATTCAAGTACAAGTGCAGTAGTGAAAGCCAAAAAACTTTCTCAACTGATATCAACAGTAATTTGATAGGGTAAATATTTTATCTCTTCATTACAAGCCATTTTGTAGATACTTGTACATAATTGTGTAAATCAAGTTACACATTCGAGTTGCTGCCAACACCTATATTATTATATATTTCAGAAACTGTCATCAATGGATGAAGTATTGTGTCTGTGAGCCAGTTACAGCACAGGTTTATGAGCTGTAATTCAGACAACAGTATGTTTGATTTTTTCAAGTGGGAGTGGACTAAGACAAGGGTATGACTCACCTCCACGTCATCATAACTCATGGTACAGCAGGAAAATAAAGGCTAATTACACTGACTGTCAAACCTACATTTGCTGGCCTCTAATGCGAATCATCATATAGGAAGTTATAAGTAGTAAAACCTGTTATTAATAAGTGCTTTAAACTGTTTCATGTTATGGTGGGCAGATGGTCCATTCCTCCCCCTTCACTAACAATATGCCACTAAAGTGACTGACAAAAAGTTACCAGCTCTGTAAATACCATATTATTGCAACTGGGTAAAATTTTTTTGAAATGATCCATGATATGTGGACAACTGCTGTGAATTATTTATACTTCATGAATGATAAAGATCTTTTATTGCTATCACAGACTGATGCATCTTGGGTAGAGTCTACAAGTAACCACTCCAACTTCTGGAAGGAACAAAGTGATTTAATGTGGTTAGGTGGTTACTACGTGCAATATAAATACCTGTACTCTTAACTCTATTGTTGCTTTGAAAAAATTAAATCATAACTTGAATTTACTACTAAAAGTAGTGGGTCAGTTGTCTCTGGTCTCCACTGCATGTACTGTACTACAGTGTTCAGCATGTGATTTGAATGTTGTTATATTTTCTTTGTTAAATATAACGACTTACACTGTGACTCATGCCTTTAGTAATATTCTTCCTACCCCCAATTTCATACCAGTGAAGATAATGGAAAAAACATTGCAGACAGATTTTAATAATTATTTATGTTTAAACACATGATGAGATGAGAAACGAAAGATTGTTGAAATGTTTATGACTCGAACCCAAGACTTCCTTCCTTTCTGGGAAGTGTCCTCACCACAATTACACAATGGTTCACCACTCTCGCTTACCACACTGATCACCATATAGCCTTTCACTTGTGGGCAAGGTGGTCTTTCAAGTACAATACAGGGTATATACAGTACTGTACTCGCTTTACACCGCTCGCCATTGCATTATGCGCGAGGGGGCCGACAGGAAATGATGTTGCGGTAAGTGACACAAACCTTTCCACACCAGCCAGCTGGGGCTGAGGCAGGCATCATATGTCTGGCAGCAAAAGGAGACTCAAGGACCAAAGACTACATAAGAAAGACGGGAAAGCAAGGTGAAAACAACGTAAGCCACATAGCATATAGATGGCTTCGGGATCAACAGTTGGCGTTAGTGTGCAGGGTGCGGGTCGTCTGTACATCATCTGTTTGTTTACACGAAGACTGGGACATTTAACCATGAGTGGGCGTCGCCATCACCCGTGTGCCGTATGCACATGTACAAAAATAGATCACCGTGAGGTTGTGTCTCACGTTTTCATGTTAATATATATCATTGATCATATAGAATTTACTGTTTGATATTGTATGTCTGTGTGTCAGTGTGTATGTGTGTGTGCATGTATACACATTAAGAATGTAAAGGCAAAGACATCAAGGAAATATCAGCTCACTCTGCGGGTTACTGTACCATGGAAACATGGACACGCTTCCCTCACGAGCCCGGTCTTTTAATTTGCCACGATGCCAACAGATGATGTTGATCGGAGCTCAGTGGTTCACGTTTTTTTTATCGA